AAAAAATGGAAATAAAGTCTTTGTAAATAGGGAAGGGTGGAGTGCATGAAGGGAGGGCTAGGAATGGGGAAAAAATAAGAACCAAGATGCATTATATAAAGGTACGATTCCCAATGAGAAATGTAATTGTGTTTTATACCTACAATGTACCAATAAAAGAATTTAATATAAAAAAAGAAATTACAAGGTAATTTTCAAATATATATTAAATACAAAGGGCCAAATGATCTTTAAGAACAAAGAAAGCACATACTATTCAATGTAACGACTTATAAAGTTATCATAACTCAATGTAGTATTGGCTTACTCCTGTCAAATAGTGTCCAGAAATAGATATACACAATTGATCACTTGATTTATAACAACTGGGATACTCCTTTGCAGAAGAAAAGGATTGTCTTCTTTAAAAAAAAGGGGGGGGGGTAGTATGTCAATTGAATATACACATACAAAAAATTAATTCCTACATTTTGCCACAAAAATTAATTCCAGAATTACAGTAGATGAAAAATGGAATGTTAAAACAATAAAAATTCTAGAAGAAACATAAAAGAAGAACTTGTATGTTTAGAGGGTAAGCAAAGATATCTTAACACACACACAAATCACAAAATCAAAGATCAATAATGTGGACTCCTCAAAATTAAGTCATTCCATTCCATAATAGATCCAAATAAGAGAATGGGAAGCCAAGCATACAGTGGGAGATCTTTATGACACTCAAATGCAATGGGCACTGTATGTGTTAGCTTTCTTTCACTGTAACAAAATATCTGAAATAAAAAACTTGAAGGATGGATAGATTTACTTTGCCTCGTGGTTTCAGAAGTGTCAGTCCATGATTGCTGGGCCCCTCACTAGGAGTCTGTGGCAAGGCAGAACATCATGGTGGGAGCATCTGATGGAAATATATGCTCATCTTACTGCAGCCAGGAGGGGGAATATCCCCAATATCCCCTTCCAAGGCACGGCCCTCCTCTAGGCCCCACTGCATAAAGGATCCACCTCCTCGCAGTAGCATCACAGCCTTTAGCATGGGGGCCTTGGGGGACTTTGAAGATTCAAACTACACAAACATGTATCCAGAATGCATGCAAAACTATCAATTAACAGCAAAAAGACCATTGAGAAATGGGCAAATTATTTGTGCAGACAAGGATATTGTCACAGAAAAGGGTATTCAAAGAGCCAAAACTTTGAAAGTGTGGTCAATTTTACCAAGAAAATACAATTTAAAACCACAAAATGATATCACAATACTCTCACTAGGATTGTTCAAATGAAAAAGACTGACAATGCCAAGGATCAAGAAGGATTTGAATCAAGTATAACTTCTATGTATACCTATTAAAAGGATTTGAAACAAGCATAACTTTTATATGTAGCTGTTAGGAGTATAAATTGGCACAACTATTTTAGAAAACATTTTTACTGAACAAATCAATAACCACATTTAGCAAAAGACATGTATAAAAGTAATCATAGCATCATTATTCATAACAACTGAAAACTAGAAACAGCTTAAATGTCTATCAAAAGCAGAATAGAGAAATATAATGTAGTATAATCATATATAAGAATACTACATAACAATGAGAATGAATGAACCACAAAATGAAAACTTGATGAACTTCTCAAACATAATGCTCAGAAAATGCAGCAAGATACAAAAAAGGTTACATACTGTATGATTCTGTTTATACGAAGTTCAGAAATAAAGCTACCTAAAGGGATTAAAGTCAGGACACAGATTTATTTTGAGAGAGTGAGGTAAGGCTGGAAGGGGGCTGAGGGCATTTCTGTGGTGTTGTTAATATCCTGTTTCTTGATCTGGGATCTAGTCACCTGGTTAAAATTTACTGAACTGTGTGCTTATTTGCATGTATACCTTGATGAATAGTATACCCAAATAAAAACTTCAACACAGACACCTACATTGCTTTCCATTTTCCTGCTGAGGTGAGAAGCAAATTCTGCTGATGTTGCTGCTTTCAGATTGGTTTCTAAACTGGGAGCATTTTAGGAAACCGGGCCAGGAGGCATTCACCATCTCCAGGACAGATTCACAGCCTTCTTTTGCAGCCTCACAGAAGGATCTACAAGGCTGGAGGCCATGCCTAGAAGAAAAGAAAAAGGTGAAAATCAAGGCTTTAATGAGATATTTTTCAAAATGATAATGATATTAAACTTGGCCACCAGTGGCATGATACGATTTTAACTTTCTTGACTTTCAGTGCTATGATAATGATTTCAGCCACCCTATTACCTAGAACAGTGATGGTGAACCTTTTAGAGACAAGTCCCCAAACTGCAGCCCAACTTATGTATCACAAAGTGCCAACACTGCAATCAGTGCTGAATACTGAGGTTTTAGTTTAGAAAAGATAGCTCTTGCATTAACATCTTTGGTCTTCAAAGAAAAAAATTACACGCATGCATAAGTTTGCCACCACTGACCTAAAGTCTGCAGGCAATAAGCTAGTCCCATAACACATAATGTAATTGTCTCTTCTAGAAGCATTTATATCAAATGATTACTTTTAAATTTCCTATGCTAAAATACACTGGTCAATGAGAAAAGAGCTCTAATTGATATCAAAAGGAGAAAATTGACACGGAAATGAAGGCCACCAAATTGCAAAGGCAGAAGTAGGTCATGAAATAGGTTACTCTCGTTTATTATTCCCTTTGAAATTCAAAATATATCTGAGAAAGAGACAGAGAGAAAGTTGTTCCTTAACCTCCTGGCCTCCCTAGAAAGAAACATACAGACAAGTGGCAATTGGGAAGACCCTGTGGAGCTATTTATCTTTTCAGATTTTCATTCTGTCTTCTGCAAAGTAAAAAGATGAAAGTAACTGTCTGTTAATGGTAAAAGTAATGATGTCCCTGGAACTTATCTTTTTTCACCTAATACAGAATCAAACCCTCCCAGATCCATAGCTCCATGGAAGGAAACTTGGGGATGGACAGAGGCAAGGCTATGAACCCAGGTGGCTTTTTCTACCTTACAGCTATAGCAGAACTTTTCACATTGCTGGGCATCTGCCAAGGGCATTTCAAATAATTTTAAGGAAACAGAAAAGAAATAAATACATCAGTCAAATCAAAACACACACTTCACACATGAAGGCTCTATCAGATATCACAGAATCATACCATGTTACATATGTGAGAAACTTTGAACAACACCTCCTTCAAATCTTTTATTGACAAGCACAGGCCCTAAGAGATTCTGGATGGACTGAAGGTTACACAGCTCCTAGTGTCAACTTCCTAGTGGCAGAAGCAGACACAGAACCCAGGTGTTTGCACTTCCAGGCCATCCTCTGTTTACTCTCCCACATTGTCTGTTCTCATAAAGGGCTGATAATTGGGTTTTAAAAACTCCCTGATGAAATGAGGTCACATAGGAGACCTCAATAATAGTTCTATGGATTATAGTAACAATGGAATATGCCAGTCAGTGAGATAAAATAGAACTAAGATGGTCAATAAAAGAATCTTGGGAGAAGGGAGATTTCATTATAAACAAAAATGTGAAAAAGGAGTCCTCAACATTTACATTCTAGTAAAAAAAAAAATGTTTTTTACTATCCTTTTAGAAAATCACATTAAAACTATTTTCAAACCTGATATTCACATAATCATCTATATAAATGAACATGTCACTAAATTTGACAGTGACAATGTAAAAAAGAGAAGTTTTGCATATGAAAGAATCACTTATATAGTACAAAAATATAAATGGATCTTGTTATTAAAAAAATACATTTGGGCAGACAGGCAGGTCTGTGCATGCCCTACCGAGGTCCTGAGTCACGCAGAAGACACCGAATCACCCCACTGCAGACAGGCAGGTCTGCCCACACCCTGCCGAGGTCCCCAGTCACGCGGAACACACGCCAAATGGGCCCGCTGCAGACTGGCAGGTCTGTGCATGCCCTACCGAGTTCCTGAGTCATGCCAAAGACACCGAATCACCCCGCTGCAGACAGGCAGCCACCTCATTCCACATTACCAAGGCGCAGAGAACACCAGACCACCAGACCAAGGTACTGAGTCCCACTGTTCCCGGCCCAGAGGTAGGGGCTTCTGAGCCGTCGTCCCACTGCTCCTGGTCCAGAGGAAGGGGCTTCCGGGTCACCATCCCTCCCGCTGCTCCCAGCCCAGAGGAAAGGGCTTTTGGGCCACCTTCTGTCCCACTGCTCCTGGCCCAGAGGAAGGGGCTTCCAGGCCACCATCCCTCCCA